AAAAAAAAAAAAAAAAAAGAAAGTATTACAGTAGAGTATGTTGTCAAACATTATTATATAATGTTGATATAATTATCTTTCGTGGACAATTCATTCAAAATAAAATTGCCTCTTGTGCAAAAGAGTTCTTAACAATGCTATTACATAAACACATTTTAGGTTTTTAAATTATCATTATTTCTTGTATATATTTTAGAATATATACAAAGAGATATTTTACTCTCTATGAACTTTCTTACATTAATTAATGCAAAATAACTGCACAGCAAGCTACTATAGTTGACAATTTCCCGTTCCACACTTTTATTTCTCTTTGGATAACTGAAGAATACTTTTTTATAAAGGGGAACCCATTGAAATGCTCGGTGTTGAGTTTTGATAATAATACCATTTTCTTAACATATCTGAAAAGGATGAATGAGATATTTTACAACGAATTTACACTAACGTGTATTTCGTACAATTCTCCAGTGATTTTCATTTGGTATTAAAACATTCTACTAGATGGTTTTGGAATTGCTCATGCTTTCCCTCAGCTTTTAATTACAAGGATTTCTGTGACAATTTCCCAAACATTATAGAAACTTTAAACTCTACTTAATTTTCTTAACCATTTGAAATATTAAATACATTGAAGAAGCTAGGCCTTTAATAATATATCTTGAGGGAAGGAACACTATGTCTGTGCATGCTGGAGGTTAGAGAAAGGCCAGTGACAAAATATCAGAGCTTAAAAGTGTAGCCCAGGGCCAAAGGGATCTCAGAGGCTCCCTAGTGATTCTGGGCCTTGGGAGAAGCTAGGGATCAGGAGGAAAGCCCACTGGTCTCCTTTCTTGCCTCCTTCTATGTTTTGGCTTAACACCGTTAAAGAGCCAGGAACTGAGAGTCCTCATTAACTTGAGAATGGGATCAAATAGGCAGAAAGACTGAATAATGATAATATGGGTATTCCAAGCATACAAATCGTATTATGTGTATAATTATGATTTCATACTATATTTAAAAAGTATCTGCAAAAAATACGATGCTGACTATTCTGCATTGCAATACTACGAAAATATGTGTATGATTAACTTTTACTATTTAAACCAAATTCTAATTTTTCCCCCAATTAACTCAGTATAGATATTGTTTGGTTTTTCCTATTTATTGGATTTTCCATTTCTCTCAGACACACAATGGCAAAAAAGAAATAATACAATTTTAGATTGCATGAACACTTTAGTAAAAATAAATTGAAATTATAGTGTTCCTAGTAAGAATCAGTACAGTGACTTCCCAAATACAAAGCAATTATATACATTTTTACTTATAAATAAATTGAGATGTTCTTTATGACAAGAGAAAAGAAGAATTCTTGATTATCATTGTTATATCAGTTTTCCTTCACAAACATTAAAGTTAGTGATAAAAAATGACTTACCTTCACATCCCTGTGAATTATGTTATTGTCATGACAGTAGCGTAGAGCTTCCAGTATCTGTCTCATGTAATGGCTGTAAAAAACAAAAGAAATCTAAAAACTGTAAACGATTTTTATTTTAAAACTTAATACAGTATACAGTGCTCCCAGTTTATAACTCCCACTCTCAGCTGTCCATGGACACTTTTCATTTGAGCAGACAAGATTGGTGTAAAGTGAGGCTTCGCAGGGTGCAGTGGCTCACACCTGCAATCCTAGCACTTTGGGAGGCCGAGGTGGGTGGATCACCTGAGGTCAGGAGTTCAAGACCAGCCTGGCCATCATGGTGAAATCTCATCTTTAAAATAAAAAAATAAAAAATAAAAAAGTGAGGCCTCATAATGAAAATGTTGGCAGACTGAAAAGTTTATGGGCTTCATGAAGAAATAGTTTGCTCTATATTTTCTAAGCTATCTAAGTCAAAAGAATTACACACAATTTATAAGTAAAATTGCTTTGCAAACTAAAAATTCAAGCTTAAAACATGACATTTTTTCCCCCCTAATCCTCCGGTAATTCTACTTAGTTAAACTGGACTGCTATTAAGGAAATTGCCCAGCGCTGCCCCAAGGATTCAGACTCAAGCCGTGGTAGCCTTTGATCTGCCAACAAATAATAAGATGCTCTCCATCTTACTTCCATTTAGCTCTGAGGACAAAAGAGGGAAGAACCTCCTTTATTGGACAATTTCTTCCTGTAACACAATCAAGTTTTAGTTGGGGCTCCCTTGAACAAAGTGGAGTTAGTTCTAGGCCCATGTCCTAGGAAGCCTGACTCCTTACTTGGCCAGCTGAGGCTCCCTCAGGGAGCACAGGTGAAGAACAAAGAAGAAATCAGCATTTTAAAGAATGAACAGGCATTAAAAAATGGTAATGGGATCAACTAGCAACTACATGTGACAAGAGTAGTTGATTCAGTAAGACTTTAGAACCTCCTTCTCCTGTTTCTGAAGTTCTTCTATAATCGCTATTTCTCTTTCTTTGAGTATGTTTCATTTCTGTATTTTTTTTTTTTTTTTTTTTTTTTTTTTTTTTTTTTTTTTTTTTTTTTTTTTTGAGACGGAGTTTCACTCTTGTTACCCAGGCTGGAGTGCAATGGCACGATCTCGGCTCACCGCAACCTCCGCCTCCTGGGTTCAGGCAATTCTCCTGCCTCAGCCTCCTGAGTAGCTGGGATTACAGGCACGCGCCACCATGCCCAGCTAATTTTTGTATTTTTAGTAGAGATGGGGTTTCACCATGTTGACCAGGATGGTCTCGATCTCTTGACCTCGTGATCCACCCGCCTCGGCCTCCCAAAGTGCTGGGATTACAGGCTTGAGCCACCGTGCCCGGCTCATTTCTGTATTTTATTCCTTCCATATTTGTCTTTCTCCTTTCTTCCTATTATCCCCTTCTTTTCTCATTTTCCCCTTCCTTCCCAACCAGCATGACAGAAATGCAATAGACAACATTATTCATTGTATAATATTTATAGAATTTTGTTTTGTTTCCAGATCTTATATTTCTGATACAAATGATCTTGACAAAGAAAAAGTTCCCTATTCTGGCTTTACAATTAAAAGATATTTCTATCAAGTTCCTTCTTTGGCATGATACCATCTAATTAAGCTCACAGGAATATTCCTCTAGTTAGCATATGCATTATTTCACATATTACAACGGACTGGAAGGGTTCCATTTTAAAAATGACAGGTAGGAGGAAAACAAAAACAAACCCAAGCCTTGTTCCTGTACTAATCACAGGCTCCTTACAACTGGGCTTTAGGTGAGAGCTAGGCTCATGTAATCATTAGTTCTGATGTTTAATTTCTCTTACTTTGCAAATGCGAATATAAGGGGTTGCAAATATACTCTTTGCTTGGGCCATTGCAGCCTGTAATTAAGTTTTGTTTATTTTTTATTTTTATTTTTTGAGACAGAGTTTTGCTCTTGTCCCCCAGCTGGAGTGCAGTAGTGCAATCTTGGCTCACTGTGACCTCTGCCTCCTGGGTTCAAGTGATTCTCCTGTTTCAGCCTCCCAACTAGCTGGGATTATGGGCATGAGCCACCATACCCAGCTAGTTTTTGTATTTTTAGTAGAGACAGGGTTTCACCATGTGGGCCAGGCTGGTCTTGAACTCCTGACCTCAAGTGATCCGGCCGCCTCAGCCTCCCAAAGTGTTGGGATTACAGGCATGAGCCACCGTGCCCAACCATAAGTTTTGTTTGTTCATTTATTTATTTATTTATTTTGAGATGGAATCTCACTCTGTCACCCAGGCTGGAGTTTAGTGGCATGATCTCTGCTCACTGCAATCTCCGCCTCCTGGGTTCAAGTGATTCTACTGCCTCAGTCTCCTGAGTAGCTGGGATTACAGGCGGGTACCACCATGCCTGGCTAATTTTTGTATTTTTAGTAGAGACGGGCTTTTACCATGTTGGTCAGGCTGTTCTTGAACTCCTGACCTCGTGATCTGCCCGCCTTGGCCTCCCAAAGTGCTGGGATTACAGGTGTGAGCCACTGCGCCCAGCAGTTTTGTTTAAATGAGGGGTTGTTAACTTGGTGTTGTGGCCCATTACTGGTTCAAATCAGGTTTTGGAGATCTGTAACCCCTTGAAATGGCTAAGAGACTACACCTGTCAAAGTGCTTTGTAAACTCCAAACCATGCTACAAAGGTTAATTTATTATTATTACAATATTATTATTGTTAAGTTCAGTCAAAGATTTAGGAACAGCTTATTTGTCCATCTAGATGTCAACATGAAAATAACGGGTAAATTTAAATTAGTTAAAGTGGACATAGCTTGTACCTACAGAATGAGCTATTTTGGATACAAAGCACTGAGACAGCCACCTAAATTATCTTTAACCTGAAGAAAATTCCTATTTCAGTTTCATCACACAAAACACAACTCAGTGAATGAGGATTTTTTTCATTTGCATATGAGAACACTCAATTACTTGACCCAAATGTATGAACACAGCAGAATCTTTGGGGTATGTGTGGAGACTGAACTGTTTTGCTCTCCAAGTTATAACAGACATGAACTATCTTTCTCCACCCTCCCAGTCATGATCCTGGGAGGCAATGCATGTCAAAGTGTGCAAGCAGAATAAAACAAGAACTAAAATCTGCCCACATGTTCTAGAGAGTTGCTGACTAAACTTTTAATCAAAAAGCTTCACTTCATGAAGCATCATAGGAACCTGTGCTTTCAGAGGAACTCAGCAATATATTTGTTTATCTTTGCTAAGGATGAGGAAGATGATAGCTCCATGGAAGGAAAGAACTGTCAAGCAATGCATTTACTTTCTTTGGAAGGAGGCATTTCAACGGTGGGGTGTGGCAGAAGAGAGATGATTCAGTCTGCTTTCCTTGTCAATGCAGGTGAAAAGCCTAATGCTATTTGCTAGGCAGAAGAGACCTTATCTCTGAAATGCCCTTAACAGGGTATCTCTGGCTAAGGATTACCTATGGTAAGTAGAACCTGGGATCTTTGAGGCACAGATGGCTTCCTGGAGAATGTCATGAAGCTATCCTAATCTTTGGGGTACAAAATGAAGATATTTGCAATGCTCCCCTCTGTGTGTGGAATCCCACAAACCTCACGTATAAACCTCATCTATTCTGGGCCAGAGGTGCATTTCTGAGGCAGTAAGAAGTGACATGGGGAGCTGCCCTTGCCTTCTCTCTGCTTCACTTGAGCCTTTTGATTGCCTGATCCTTGAAATTATTTAGTAAAGCTTGGTACTAGTTAAGAAGATCTCTGAGAGTTTCATTTGATAATCTGATCTTGTATGTTGGCCCACTCCCCAACTCATCAACTCTGAAAGGATGGAGGTAATCACTAATTATGTTGCACTAAGGACTGAACACAGTTTTATTTTATGCCATGCTTTGCTGCTCCTCTTGAAGCTCAGCCAGTTGGAGAAAAACAACATTATCAATCTGATTACTTGGTGTCTCTGAGTCTTCTTGCAGCTGGTCTCACTAGACTACTGATACAAGCTGAATTTCCTTATAATAAATTTCAGAATCAGAGAGGATGAAGGAAGATTAGAAGTCATCCGGTCAAACACTAAACCAATGGAAGAATCTACACACCCTTGTTACATGGTCATTGATCCTTTGCAATAGGAAACGCACATAATAAAACTTTTTGAGTCCCCTCCTACTTTTTTTTTACTGTTCAGGTGAAAAGTCTTTAAGAAATTATCTTCAAACCTCTCTCTTTGCAATGTCACCTATTGCTGCGCCTCTTCTCTGGTCTACTCTGGAAAGTTCCTTTCACCATTTTAACAGCTTATACAGGTGGATTTAAAAATCAATAGGCTTTCATTTTGATGTGTATAAACATCTTTTCTATAAATCTCAAGATTAGGAAAGACCACAAGTAATTTCACTGTATGACATCATCTCTTCACACTACCATCCTGCCTATCCTGACATGTAGCCCAGTGGCAGAGATAGGCGTGAAGTTAAGAAAAAGCAATAAAGATGACTGGGGACCAGAGTAAAAGTGGTACTGGTTTCACATCAATCCTGTTAGCATACCTGCCATGTATCCTAGTATTATTGTCGTTGAAAAAAGAAAAAATCCTCTTCTTCCATTGACTCTCACTAGCATTGACTATTTTTGGTACAAAAGAATGCTTTAAAATTACGAAGGACAAGGAGGAATAAAAATTTAAAACTGTAATAAAAACTCAAAACAACAGAAGATGGGATTAAAAAAACCTAGAATGTGCTTTAGAGAACATGGCACAAAAGAAAAGAGGCTATTTAGCCTCAATTCTACCACATATACAACAGGAGCCTAAAGAACACACATAAACTTTCATTGGCTTCTTCATCCTAGCCCCAGTAGTACAAAAAAACAGTGACCACACATTGAGCATATTCTTTACTTAGTGCTATAGCCATGGTTGCTCCATCCCTGAGACTAGGTCCCTTGCTCTTCAACCAGGAGGAGTCAGGGCAATGAATTTGAAGACATTCAAGTCATGCTAAGCTCAAAGCTCTATTAAGGTAGCCTCCAAGTTGTTTCCAGCTATGTCTGTCTAAGATGCCATAATTACAAGATAAATTATAAGAGGGAGTAAATCATTTAATATAACTTTCTCAAATGACAGAAAGTTTTCATAAATGCTAGGCTGGGAACAGTGGCTCATGCCTGTAATGCGAGCACTTTGGGAGGTTAGGCAGGCGGATCACTGGAGGTCAGGAGTTCGAGACCAGCTGGCCAACGTGGTGAAACCCCGTCTCTATTAAAAGAAATACAAAAATTAGCTGGGTGTGGTGGTTCATGCCTGCAATCCCAGTTGGGAGGCTGAAGCAGGAGAATCATTTGAACCTGGGAGGTGGAGGTTGCAGTGAGCCAAGATCAGGCCACTGCACTCCAGCCTGGGCAACAGAGTGAGACTCTGTCTCAAAAAAAAAAATCCTAATATGTTTGTGGGTTTAAACCCTTCAACATATTATGGCTGGTGACTGAGGAGGGATGCTGTATTCCACGTATTTAAAAGGCAACCCACAGGAGTGAGTAATTATGGTATGATTGAATATAACCAAAACAGAAGCTGTGTTGCTCTAAATTTATAAGCAAGTGGCCCAGCACATGCGTGGCTCCTGTAATTTCTCATATTTACTGATTTTGAGTCATTAGGTCTTTACAACAACTTCTCCACTTAGAACAACAGTTGCCATTTGATTGGTAGGTCTCACACGGGCCTGAAGCAAATATATTCTTTAACATGGTGCTCTTATTTCCCTTCCTTTTACTGTTCTGTACTTTTCCTTAGATTAACTGTGACATAATTTGATATCACTAAAAGGCAAAATGAAAAACTGAGGCAGATTTGCAAAAACAAAAATAAAACAAAACCCCAGTAGAATTCTATGTGGTTCCTGAGCTATCAGATCCCCCCTTCTTGTACAAAAATCATCAGAAATGGGAAAGATAGCAGTACTGAAAGTGTAAACCCATGTTAAAAACCCATGTTAATGGAAAACTCATTGTTCAGTATTTTGCATTTCCAGTTACTATCAGTTCTACTAACACATACTAAAACAGAGATGTTCCTTATAGAAAAGAGCAGCAGCATGCTCTTCATCAGTTTATCATGTGATATCTTTGTCATTTTCTTTTTTTACTTTCACCTTAACCTCTCAGGATTAGATATACACTACATACCTGGCTACAGCTTCACTGTACACAAAACCAGCGTCAGCTCGCTTTACGATTTCAAAACACAGATCTGCTCCATCCATACTGTAGAGAAATGTAAAAAAGAACATAAGAAAAGAGAAAATTCCAGGAAGACAACACTGAAAGTAAATACATTGTAATTAAGTTATTAGTTGATTTACTGCTAAGGATTATGTTAAATCTTCTTTCTTTCAATGAAATATAGACATAAATTATGAAGGGCATAATAGTCATCTTAACATTGAAAATCTGCAGGGAAAGAAACAGGAAGAGCAGGCTAACAGTAATATCAAATAACAGGAGTATATAAAATTGATTATAAATTTTCTTTAGGTTTTCATAAAAAAAGCATCAGAAAACAGCAATGCTAGAGTTGTGGGCATATTTTTAAGTCAAATTCCAAAGATATTCAGCTATGTGGAATACAAGGATTAAAAAAAATCTTGCTATTGTTACCACTAAATGGAAAATTCAGGCTATATACTGTGGAAGGAACAAACAATTTATTTTTGTTTACATTTCCATTCCCAAAGTTAATTGCTACAAACATTGTAACACGTAGATGTGTTGGTAACACAATGTCATCATATTTTCATAGAACTTACAGTGGTTTTCTATTTCTCACCAGATAAGTAAGGCCTCTTGTTGTCTTGGTCACACCTTGCCTCTTCTACCTATCCTGTCCACTGATGTTTCAAGAAAATCTTCCTCTCTAGGCAGAATGGTCTTAATAGCACTCCCTGAGTATACCATTTTCTTTTTTACTTTTGTATATATTGCTTTTCATTTTTGAAACCTACCTTAATTCAAGGTTTCATTCCAATCCTACCTTCCCTGGAAGCCCCCTCAATGATTAACAGCCATATTAATGCCTTCCTTTGCTTTTAATTCCATAACAACCCTATAGAGTCCATAACATTTAGCACTTACATACAAACACCTCCCCCTCCCCACTGCATATACCTGTATATGTATACATGAATTTTGCCAGATTATACATATTAATGAAACTCTTCAGATATTAATAGCTAACATTTTCATAATTATTTAAGGCTTATATTTTCAAATCCAGTGTTTCATTCATTCATTCATTAGCTCAGTTTTCAACGTACCTACTGCAGGTATTATACTGAGGAAATAGAAACTTCTGGAAGGGAAAGTAAAGGAACTAACATTCTTCCTATTCATGAGGCATCACGGGAAGCAGTCCTTGTTATGCATCCCTTCATACCTACAACCATCCCATGAGGTCACCATCATTTTCAAATAATTTGTCTAAGCAAGTGGACAAGTATGTGATAGGGACAGGATCCAAATCCCTGTCTAGCTATGTCCTGTGCTCTTCCCATTGATTACAGCTGTACCTACTGGATGTGCAAGGAACAAATGTACATCTTTAAGCCCTACAACAGTTCCATGATAGTGTAAAGTCCTAAACAAGAAGAATAAATATATTTATACTTTCAATATACCCTTACCCAATACCCAACAGAAGAACTGAGCACACTGTAGATAATTAATGAACACCTGATTCTATTATTTGGATCTTAGTGTGGTTTTATATAAATGAATGAAAATAATTTCATATTTATACAAGCTCTAAAAACTTTACCAAGTTTCTATTTCACACCTAAGGAACATTTTCCAATGTAAATAGGATTCTTCTCCGAAATAATGTCTATAGTGGCCTAGTCTACTGTAAACACTACTATAATGGCCTAGTCTGTTCCCTAGTATGGCAGCACTCATTTTCCACTATCAGAAGTAAAGCCTGGATGAATGTGATCATACATCTTGATGAACAACTCTGATCACCTTTATGGTAAAATTCTTACAAGCTGAGTTGCTAGGACGGGGGTATATACAATAACACTTTTGATAAACACACAATACCAGAAACAGTTTAACAATTTATACTCCCACTACCAAGTGTGAATGTGTCCCTTGCTCCACTAGGATAATGATTATTTTTTTTCATCTTTGGCAACTAGATAAGAGGAAAAAAGTCATTCATGATTGCTTTAATTTGCATTTCCTTGATTACTAGAAAGAATGAATATTTTTCATTTCTTTTTACTGTGGGGAGAAAAGAAATGCTGTTTTTAAAACTGGCTGTACTTTAAGCTGGTTAGTTGATCTATGAGGACTAAAAAACATCTCATATTGAAGGAATTAGTTTTGCTTAGATGTTTTCCTTTGTCATTGTGATATATGAGGGTAAGCGCTATTGAACTTAGATGAGAGAGGGGTTAGGAAAAGGAGAGAGCCAAACTGATTACATAATGAAGCAATAAGAATTTAGGCTCTTTATGCCATCTCTCCATGCTGCCATAATGGTGTGCATGAATGTACTGGCTGATGACTCCAGAGCATTAACAATACCAAAAAGAGTCAAACACCAGGTTCTTATTAGGTTGTGCTCCAAAGTCACTGTCCAGTTTCTAACTGTGATGATAAAGCATGGTTACATTGGTGAATTTGAAATCACTGATGATCAAAAGTTGGGAAAACTGTTGTGAACCTCAGGCAGGTTAAACAAGTGTGGAGTGATCAGCCTCAGATTTGATGTGCAACCCAAAGATCTAGAAAAATGGCAGAATTATCTGTTCCCATTTTACCAGTTTGGACTCGCTGTACTAATGACCTCAGCTGGTATCATAGACCATGAAGAAGCAAGATGAAAACATACAGGAGGGAAAATCCTGGAATTCTTTTCCTAGGGATGTAATACATACTTACAAATAAAATGCCTCAGTGGACTCTGGTGTTTCCAAAAAGAATGTGGGAGATGTTCTGAGAGCTAGAGGACTTTCTGGAGGGACCTAGAATGGATGAAGGAAAAGACAGGGCCTGGGAAGGAGGCAGCAAAGTGATGAGAGGTATAAAGCCTAAGGAGGGAATCAGTCAGTGAGAAATGTCTGGAAGTTATATACTGCCCTGTGCTATAATTATCAGCATGGATCAATCCATTTTGTCTGGTCATATCTGAAATACTAGTATTTGAAATGACAATCTCTAAACATGTGCATACACACGTGGAGGTATTTTTAGGTTCCTGCTCTCTTGTATTTACGTACCTATTCTTGCATCAAGTTCCATACCATTAAAAATACTGTAGGTCCGGATGCCATGGCTCACACCTGTAATCTCAGCACTTTGGGAGGCTGAGGTGGATGGATAGCTGGAGGCCTGGAGTTTGAGACCAGCCTGGCCAACATGGTGAAACCTCGTCTCTACTAAAAAAATTCAACAAAAAAAAAATTAGGCAGGCCTGGTGGCCTGCGCCTGTAGTCCCAGCTACTCTGGACGCTGAGGCAGGAGAATCATTTGAACCCGGGAGGCAGAAGTTGCAGTGAGCCGAGATTACACCACTGCACTCCAGCCAACAGAGTGAGACTCCGTCTCAAAACGAAAACAAAAACAAAAACATGGATGGACAAAATAAAATACTATAGTAGCGGATTTTAATATTTGGCAAAATAAATCTCATTATTCTTCACCAACACTTTTTTTTTTTGAGACAGAGTCTTGCTCTGTCACCCAGGCTGGAGTGCAGTGGTACCATCTCAGCTCACTGTAATCTCTGCTTCCTGGGTTCAAGTGATTCTCCTGCCTCAGCCTCCCAAGTAGCTGGGACTACAGGTACCTGCCACGATGCCCAGCTAATTTTTGTATTTTTTTAGTAGAGACGGGGTTTCACCATGTTTGCCAGGCTGGTCTCAAACTCCTGACCTCAAGTGACTGGCCTGCCTTGGCCTCCCAAAGTGCTGGGATTACAGGCATGAGCCACTGCAACTGGCCTTCACCAACATTTTCTTATGATTTTTTTTTCTTCCCAGCTGACCTTTAAAATCATCTTATCAAACTATAAAGAATTTTGATTCCGATGGTAAATTTATACATTAACTTCTAGAAATTAACTTTTTCTAATATTATCATCCATGAACATTTTTCTCTCCACTTCCTT